TACCCTCTGACTCTCCCAGGCCATTCCCAGAGAAGGAGGGAACCCTGCATAGTGCCCTCTGGGAACCTTTCCAAATGAGAGGAAGGAGGACCTAATAGAGCTCTGCAGGATCTGACTTCAGAAGGATTTCTTCAGGATGTTTTTTTCCTTTCTATTTTTGTCTTTACTCATTACTTCACTCATAAACTACACAGGATGTGTTAGTTTATACTAATTATCTCAAAAAGTTGATTCTGTTCATCTAGATGTAGCCTTTTCAGTGGGGGGAAACGTTTCATCACTCATCCAAGTGACTTCTTCAGTCTCCGCTGACTGCAAGTTCCCCCAATCTTATAAACAGTACATTTGCATAATGACTGAAACTAGCACCACTGATGAAAAATGGGCTGTGAGGTCAGTTTCTTGATCATTAATATGCAAATTGTCGCAAGCATTGATCAATGGTCATGAGAAGCATTCACAGAGAGTCGGGGGATGGCTGCAATCACAGCATTGTAAGATTGTGAAAGATGTACCCTTAGGCCCCTTGATTCAGAGATGCTCTTTCTCTTTTCACAAAAAAGGGCCTCCCTGACTCCCCGCTCAAACCAGCGTTCCTCCCTGTCCAGGATGTGTACATCCTCGCCATTGAGAGAGTGGCCACTGGTTGCTTAGTGCTTCTGTGTTGTGCCATCCGCTTAGCCAGAGGTTGTTGGTTTCCCCGATGTATTAATCACAGTAATTCTCCTGGAACTTAATGGCGTACACTATATTACTCTGTTTGTGCCAGGCAACAGGATCCTTGGGGTGGACCAATTTTTGGTGCAACGTGTTTTGGGGTTTGAAAATCACAGAGAAAATGTGCCTCAGCTGTTCCGATACTCCTGACTCATAAGGGCTCACTAAGGGTTTTCACTTAGGCAGCAGTTGTCCTTCTTCTCTTCTGGATCACCTGGAGCATTTTGGGATTTCCTTACCTGGATGATTGAGCATGCATCATGACATTTATACTATTTGGCATCTGATTTTTTTTTTT